CTCCTGCCCACCGACGGAAACGCCGCCACGAGCCGCGGCCACAACATCCCGAGGAAAACCAGGAGGGACGGCCTGCGGCGAAAAGCACTCCGTCTTCAGGGCCTCTAAGAGGCCCTGTCGGGACGAAAGAACAGAGCACCGTTGGCACCTGAAACGGGACCCAACAGGAATAAACCTATGCGCGCGGCCCTCGCTGCGTGCTCGAGGCGGCGGGTCTCGGCGGTCTTCGGGATCGGGCGATCGACATCCGTCGAAGCCTTGGACCGCTTGGGATCCGCCGAAGAAGCTTCCGCCAGAGCCCGCCGTGCTCGTCGACGCACCAAGGCAGCGGTGAGGTCCCAAGCGTCGGTGGCAGGAGCAGACTGGGCGGCCAGGGTCCAGGAACGCTCGGCGGCCTCGGATGCCGCTTCGTCAGCTAACTGGTTACCGCTGGCTAGAAAAACTTCGTGATAGGTGAGGGAGGGGTCGTCAGGAGAGAGGTGCGAGGGCGTCCATTCGGCCGAAACGTGCCCAGGGCCTCGGTCATCGATGGCGCATCGAATTCGCAGCCACAAATCGCTGTTCCTCCCTCCCAGGCTCCAGGGCCGACCCCGACTCCAACCCGTCATAAGTGGCTTGTGGTCGGTCACAAGATGGACGGGACCTGAGGTGCCTTCCAAGAAGAGAGCGAAAGCCTGCAGCTCCGACCTGGGCACAGTTTGCGAAGGGCCTCGCAAAATCTCAGAGATGCCCCCCAAGACGGCCCAACGCAAAGGTCCTTCCCCAGGTCGCGCGTCCCTGACCACAACGACGGCGGAGCCACACCGACGGCGACGAGGGTCGGACGAAAAGCGTCCTCCAGAACCGTCCCCGAAGCCGATCAGCGGGCTACTGCCAGGGTCTCTAGAGCAAGCCCCGAGCGGGACCTCACCTAATTGGGCTCTGCTCAGGCTCTCCGACGGCTCCCTGAAAACAGGGTGGGTGACACGGGTTGGCGGAACACCTCGCAGCCAAAGGCTTGGTTCAGATTCAACAGAGGCTAACGCTTGGGGAATCAAATGATCAGTAGACGTGAAATCACTGTGGTCTTTGTTGCAGGGGCATCGCCACATGCGGTGCGCAAGAGTTTCTTCCTCCTGCTGGCACCGCGGGCACAGGCGGTCTGAGGGCTCGCTCAGTGGGTGCTGCCTGTCCATCGTCCACTGGGCGCCCGTGACCACGCACAAATTGAGGCCGAACAGGTCGAGCTCCCCCCTCTTGGCGTAGCGACTGAGCTCCAGTCTGGGCCAATAAAGGTCAGCTCCTTCAGCCAAGCAGTCCCCTGCAACATGCGCCGATGCATTGCGCCAAAGTTGAGCGCGAAAATCAGTGACCACGTCGTCCAGCAGCTCGGAGATGTCGAACCCAGTGGGGTCATAGCCTGAACGACGTGCGGTTGGAATCTGCCACTCCTCGATTCCTCCATCAGTGGGCCTCCTCCAACGGAGGACCGAGGGTGCTTCCCATCCCGCGTCAAGCAGGGTCGCAATAACAGCTCCAATGGGTCCTTTGACCAATCTCCATCTTCTGCTGGCGCCAGCTGCGAGAAGCCGCCGATGAATGACCGTCCAAGCGTTTTCAACTCGGTGGTGAATGCTGGTGTCGGTCTTCCAGAGACAGAGAAATTCTGAAAGAAGGCCTCGACGCAGCTCCAGGGCAGGGTCCTTGGGGCCGTAAAGAACCGCCAGAGTGGTCGTAAGACACCTGCCCTTCATGGGCCCAGCTCCAGCCGAGGCTGCCTGCCGCCTGACGGCGAGGACGTTGGACGGCGACATGCCATGGGCCTGGTGCCCGTAAGAGCCTTGAGGAGCTGCGCCTGTGGTCCAGAGACCTTGAGCTTCTCGTCGAAGAGGGGCATGTCTGCGTAGACGGGCAATACGAGCTGCCCTCCTCTTGCTGGCGGTCAACCTCATTCTGGCCTTAATGACTGTGCGCCGCTTGCCAGACGCCGCATCGATGCCAAGGTCCGTGCCGTGCAGGCCGTACCGCACAGGGATGCCTCGCTTCTGCAACTGAGCGGCCGTCCTCCTCCCATCCTGAGGGACGGTGGCAATGAGGACTGACTTGTCCGAAAGCGTAAGTCGGAATTGAGTGGCGAGGTCGGCAAGAGTGACCGTAGCGTGGAGGATCTCGGTTTGGACCTTGGCTTGCGTGCCTTCTGAGCGGGCAACCGTGTCGTCAATGAAGGTCCAGAAAGTGCTGAAGCTCGCTCTGCGATGTGCCGCCTCCATCAATGGATGTAAAAACAATTTGGCAATCCTTACCCCATGTGGGGAGCCTGCAACAAGAGATCTGGTGGCGAAGATGGCATCAGCAACGCCAAGAGAGCCCCGCAAGAACCGAGGCCCAGCGCACATCTCCAGCTCCAGCAGAACCACAATCGCTGGGAACTTGAGATCGAGTGCAGCTTGGCCAATGAGGACCCAGGATAACGAGTCGTAGAACTTCTCGAAGTCCAAGAGCAGGGTCGCCGCCGAGATGCCGAGAGCCACTGCGGACTCATCGAGCAGCGCTCGCAAGAGCCCCGCTCGAAGCGAGCTGCTGCCCGCCACTGCAGTGTCCCAGAAGTCAGAGAGCTCCTTAGTCCAGGTAGACGTAACGCCTGCTCTCACGCGGGACCAAACCTTCGCCGTCTCTGGAAGTAGGCCAATGACCCTTTCTCCTCCTTTGGGTTTAGGTAATAATGCTCCAATAGATGCCAGGATCTGAGCAGGCCAAACTCCATGTTCTTCAATGCTGTTGAGAAGCCTGCAGTAATCACACCGACCTTCAAGTGGGAGCCGTTGGAGGTCCAGAGGTGTGATGGAGTCAACTCCGCAGGCCTTGGTGCCAAGAACCTTGAGAACCTTGTCCACCTGGTCGACACTAACAGGATATAACTCCTCCTCGCGGCTCTGCGTGTGCAGGCGCTTGAACATGGCGAGGATGTCGGACTGAGAGTCGACTGGGTCGTGCCGGAGTCTTTCCCAGGTGGATCTGGTGTGTTCCATTCTAACAAATGGGTCTCCAACGACGCGCCCATCCACTAAGGGGTCAGCTGAGACCGCCTTGGGTTCCTTCACCAGTGAGTGGAGCAGGCCCGGCTTAGATTTCCAAACCTCCTTGGCCCAGCGGATGAAGGAATGCCGCCTCAAGGTCAAGCATCTTGCCTGCGAACGGCAGACCAGCTTCTCGGTGAAGTAGGCGAAGTCGTCGCGCTCCAGCTCGGTGGCGCTCGCGAAGGCGCGAGACCAAGAAATCCACCGCTGCTGATTAGCGGCGCCCTCTGAACCTGGACCGAAGAAGTCGGATGGCTCGAAGCTGTTGGCGTCGTTGGTGTAGCGACCAAGGGCTGAGGTACAAATCGCTAGCTGGCGAGGATCCTTGCCATGGCGTAGGAGAGCCATGATTCTTTGGACCAAGGTGAGTACTGTTCCCCACCATTCTCCAGCTCCATCAGCCATGTGCACTCGCCCTGGAGTAGCTTTGGTCTGCATCCATCGTAAAGAAAATCCAGCTGCGCGTGGAACTCGCAGTCGAGGGTCAAGCTGATGATGAAGTGCGAAGGCACGCTCCACTCCAGCAGACCACCGCGCGTACTGCCTGGTGACGGCACCAAGGCCGAGCACGTTGATCTGACCCAACAACTCAGAATTGACCACGCTGCAACATTGGGAGCTGAGCCCCTCCTTGGAGGGCTGCTCTTCCCACAGGTCTGTAGGTATGTGAAAAGAGACCTGGGACTCAAGATCCAAAGTACTCCCTGATAGATGTAGTGAATCGTAATCTTCCAACAGATCAGATGGTACGCGGGCCCGTTCTTGCGCTTGCCGTTGGGCTTGAAGGAGAGACCTCTTGCTGCTGGGGTCCGCGGCGAGCTTGGGTCTGGCTACCTTCGGAAACGGTTCAGGTAACATGAGTTTCTGGTACCACCATCTGCGCATGCCGTCGTGGACGTCAACTTGTAAGGCACAATGCGTCTTCCAAGGTACCTGAGGCTGCGAACGAACTCGGTACCTGGAGGATGTCCCGTTCTTGGCCATGGCGAAGTCGATGAGCGAGCCCTCTTGCCCTTTGTCGCACGTGGTGCTGACATCAGCAGGCAGAAGGAGGGTGCCTCCTATTCTTTCAGGCCAGCCAGAGCCTTCAAAGGACGTTGGGGAGATGTTCCAATCTCCGATAACCAGCCAAGGGTCTGCAAGACCATGAAGAAAGGAGGCTAACGCCACCAACACGTGGCGATTTCCGCCAGAAACTCCCAATCCTGGCCATAGATAAACTGATACCAAGACCAGGTTGCCCGACGACATGTGCAAGATCATGGCGGCGAACCCGCGCATAGGATCAGGTAGGCGTGCAGCTTGTGCGTGTTGCCGAACTGCCTGTAGTGACGTGGTGGCCAGATGCTTCTTGGCCATAACCCATTCGCCACCAGAAGAGCCTCCTCGTCCTGTTGGTGTGCTCCCTGTGGCGCAGACCTTCCACCCGTCTTTGTCAAGGTCCACCTCCGTCTTGGAGTGGAACGTGGCGGGGGTGACGTGAGTCTCCACCAGACAATGAACAGAGTAAGGGGCTGTGTTGACATAGCGCTGCGCTTGAGGCCCCCACTCCGTGATGTTACCATAAAGGATCGAGAAATCATTCTCGTCGGTGGTAAGCTTGGAGGGGGCTGGAGCGGCCAAGGCCTGCGCTGCTGGTGCGCCGAGGCCAGCCCCAGCGCAAGGAGGGGCGCTGCTGCAGACAGCCAGGTCCGCGCTAACCTCTGGTGGGCTGGCGGTGACGCCTGGCGGCGAGGGGCCAACCTCCGCCTCGAACGGCAAGTCCTGGGGGAGCGGTCGATGACCTCCTCCAGCGCCAGCTCCTCGAACGGGTCCAGCTCGGCGTCGTGCAGGTGCGCCGTGTGCGCGACAGCAGCGCCTTGACCTGGGCCGCTCGGCGAGGCAGGGACAGAGGCCTGCGGTGCCGTAGATGCGCGAGGCGCAGCCCTCGGGGGAGGGCTGTCATTAAGGGCAGCATACGCCAGCCCGCCAAGCGCACCCGTCAGCGAGGCTTGACCCGAGGCGCTCGCAGAAGTGCGAGTGGCCGAAATCTTCGCACTCGGGGATGGCGAAGGACCGCGCGACGCCGAACGCGACGGAGACGAACGTCTCGCCTGCGGGGTTGGTGACGCCGAGCCTGGAGCCGCAGTCGGCGTGCTGCGCACCTCCAACGGTGCTGTGGGCGGGTCGCTTCCGAAGGCGCGCTCCTCATCCGCGTCGAGGAAGAACTCGACGGGGTAGGGCCAGGGGCGCCCGCCGTAACAGCATGCCGAAGGAACTCGGCGCGGCGCCCCTAGCTCTGCGTTAGGCTGTGGACGGAGCCCCTGGGGCTGCAGGGGAGGGGGCGGCGCCAGGAGCGGGCTCTGCGAAGGAGGCGGCGGCCTCCTGCTGAGCATTAAGCTCGTCCTGGGCAGACTTGGCCTTGGCTCTGGCCGCGGCGCGCATGGCCTCGGCCCCAGCAGGAGCTCCTGCTGCCGCAGCGGCGCCTGCGGACGCGGCCCCGCCAGGAGCAGCAGCAGCAGCGGGGCCAGCAGCAGACCCAGCCGCGTCGCTGCCGTCCACGCGCCTGCGCTTGGCCTCCTCCCTGGCGCGAAGCTTCCGAGCCTCCTCCCGCAGCTCCAGGATGCGCTGCGCCGAGGGTCCAAGGACTTCCTGGACCTTGGTCTGGGCGCTGTCGGCCAGCTCCTGCTTGATGCGCTCCCAATCGACGCGCGCCTGCTCGTCGAGCTCCAAGCCCGAGAGGTCGAAAAGCGGCCCGTCCACGATCTGCAGCGAGCCCTCATCAACGAGCGTCGACAGGTTGATCGCCGAAGAAGTGGGTGGCGGCGCTGAAGGCGGCGCCGCTTTGGCCTTGACCTGCTTGGCACAGGCCGCCTCCCAGTCCTGCTGCGCAGCGTGAGCGCTGGCGGCCGCCTCGTCCTCAGCGGCCTGGGCGTCGGCCAGCCACTGCTCGCCCTCCAAGACGCGGGCAGCGCAGGTCTCAAGCCATGCCAGCGCCCTCCTGCAGGCCACACCTTTGGCCCGCACTTCCTCCTCAAGGAGTGGCGCCTTCTGAGGGGCGCCCGCGCCAGCAGCGGCTGCCTGGGCCTCCTTCTTGGCCTGCACCGCCGCTTTGAGCTTGAGCAGCTCGTCGCAGTCCGAGCCGAGCTCCTTCTCGAAGAACACAAACGGGTCTGCAGGCTGGGAGGGCTGCTGCTGTCCCGCGCGGCCGCCTTGAGGCACCCAGCCCGCCTGTTGATAGACCCAAGGCCGGCCTTGGACGGCCTGGGCCTTCGGCGCGGGCCGAGGCGGAGGCGGTCCCTTGGCGCCCTTGCCTCCCGCCTGGGCCCAGGGTGGGGCCGCAGGGGCGTCGGCAGCAGTCTCTGCCTCAGGAGGAGGCGCTGCGCCTGCCTGCGGCGGGCCCCAGACCCACTGGCCGCGAGGCCGCTTGTCCTCCGAGGGGCTCGGTACCAGGGCGCCGCCGCACTGGTAACACCAGTGGTTGTTCTTGAAGTTCCAGCGGAACCTGCAGGCCGTGCAGGCGATGTACGTCGTGGCCCCTGCCGATGGAGCCGAGCGACCACCGCCGAGGCCTTTCCTGCCACCGCCCTTCTTGCCGCCGCCTCCCATGGCCGCCGCGAGAGAGGCTGCTCCCCCAGTGAAGGGGGCAGGCGAGGGACTGGGGCGGACCAGTCCTCGCGAAGAGGATGTCGGGCGCAAGCACCCTGGCACTGCCGCGGACTAGCGGTATCCAGTTCTGCCAATGCGGGCTCAGCCCGCAAAGAAGGCATCTTGAGCCAAAATGGCTACGGCAGGAGGAGGAGGAGGAGGAGGAGGAGGAGGAGGAGGAGGAGGAGGAGGAGGAGGAGGCGTTGATGTTGATGATGATGATTGATGATGATGAATGATGATGAATGATGATGATGATGTGATGATGATGGATGATGATGATGATGATGTGTGAGGTTGATGATGTTGAGGGGAGGAGGAGGAGGAGGAGGAGGTGGAGGAGGAGGAGGAGGATAGGGAGGAGGAGGGGGGAGAGGAGGAGGAGGAGGAGGAGGAGGACTTTTGGAAGCAATATTTGCCATTGTCAGCGTGCATTCAAGTAAGCCGCAGGTGGAATTGGCGAGTTGTCTCGGATTCACGTGCACAGCCGGAGTTGAGCAGCCATGGCGAACTCCGATTCCAGTGTTTGGCCGTCAAGATTGCGGCCCGAACTTCCTTGGAAGCCTGAGTACCATGCTCGTCTCTTCACTATGCCCCGTCCCGGCCAGTCATTGCGTCCACGCGTTCCACTCGCCTTGCGAGGTGCCACGGCCAACAGCCCTCTCCGACCCAAATAGGGGGCCACATGCGAACCCTACCCCTACCCCCCAGGATTTCTGAGGAGGAGGGCGGGGTTCACCTCGTTCGGGAGCTCCCGAGCGAAGTGAACCCCACCCTCCCCCTCAGAAATCGTGGGGGTAGGGGTAGGGTTCGCATGTGGCCCCCTACCAAACTCCCTCGCAGGCCACGCGCAGCTTCCCGCCTCCGCCGGCTATCTCCGCACCGAGAAAGGAAAAAGCTTTCGAGCGAACCCGTGGGACGGGGAACGAAGAGCAGACGTGTGCCGACCGTGCGGGCAAAAATCACATCCCTGTCCAGTGCGCCTTGGACTCTCTCGGGAGGGGCGCCGCGAGGCCGAGGCGCACCGGCCGTGAAAAAATCCAGCCTATGGGCGCCCGACTCTTGCCCACGTCCTGTGCGCCTCGGGTTTCTGGGGAATGGGTCGGGGGCCACATGCGAACCCTGCCCCTGCCCCCCACGATTTCTGAGGGGGAGGGCGGGATTCACTGCGTTCGGGAGCTCCCGAGCGAAGTGAACCCCACCCTCGCCCTCAGAAATCGTGGGGGGTAGGGGCAGCGTTCGCAAGTGGCCCCCTAGAGGAGGAGGAGGAGGAGGAGGAGGAGGAGGAGGAGGAGGAGGAGGAGGA